AGCTGAACAGTATTTAGAAATACTCGAAGAAGTTATGCTTCCCTCGGTACGTGCATATGCTTTCCCGTTTCCCGAAAACATAATTTTCATGCACGATGGGTGTCCTATCCATATAATTTTCATGAATATAAGTCAAATTGTATAATAAATGTAAAGGAAACAATCCTGTTCTAACATCCTCACTTATGCAGTATGTATTCAGGATGATTTAAGTCAAACAAATCCTAACATTATACTTATAATTATTATGAAAGAGTACAGTATAATATATGATAAATATATTGCATGTGAAATAATTACCATATATACCACGGAAAAAATCAGAGAGAGAGGCGGAGACAAAGAAACAACTGGATAACGACACAATTCATACAATACAATATTACAGGGGAAATTACAACAGGATGAGGGAAGAGATGAGGGGTATCCACTGGCTTGACTCATTAAGGCACAAGAACGCAGACACTATGCTGAATATCATAACTAGTAAAGTGACCCATGTGATCGATAAATACATACGCAAGACCAAACCCAGTGCCTCAAGGAATACGAGGGGATCCCTACACATGAACTATGCGGCGGTCGACAAAGTTAAGAAGAAAACCCAGAAATTCAGGACGTGGGTTGGGTCAAATGATGAGCAGGACAAGAGGATGTATGCAAGAGCCAGAAACCAAACAAAGATACAATGTAGAAGGGCTGAAAAGGAGTTCCAGAGGCTGGTTGCAAGCGAGGTCAAGTCAAACCCAAAGGCGTTTTACCGCTATGCAAAGTCGAAATTAAAAACGCGAGTAGGAGTATCAGACCTGAGGCTTGAAGATGGTAGTTACGTAGAGTCTGACCAGGATAAAGCTGAGGCATTGAACAGCTTCTTTTCCTCGGTGTTCACAAGAGAGGACGCGATTAACCTTCCTGCATTTGAGGACAGACGGTTCGACACAGCACTGACCCACATTGTGTTCACAGAAGAGGGTATTAGAAATAAACTGTCCAGGCTTAAGGTCCAGAAGAGTCCCGGACCTGACATGGTGCATCCTAGAGTGCTAAGAGAGTTGTGCAACGAGCTTGCCGAGCCCCTGAAGATCCTGTTTTGTTAATGCCTGGATGAACAAAAGGTCCCCAGTGAATGGAAAGTGGCTTTTGTGAGTCCTATCTTCAAGAAAGGCGATCGTCACTCCACGAACAACTATAGACCGGTGAACCTGACCAGCATAATATGTAAAGTACTTGAGAGTATTATTTGAGATGCCGTGATGGAACATCTACTACGAAACAACCTTGTAAAGGATTGCCAACACGGTTTTATGCCGGGGCGCTCCTGCTTAACACAATTGCTCAAGGTATTGGATATTTGGACCCATATTCTGGAACGGTGTGGTAATATCGACAATATTTACCTAGATTTTGCCAAGGCTTTCGACACTGTACCCCACGAAAGGCTGAAAATCAAACTGGAAGGGTACGGAATTCGGGGAAATGTCCTAGCGTGGCTAAAAGACTTTCTACATGACCACAAGCATTGTGTGGTGATTAATGGCACGAAATCATCATCCATACCTGTCACAAGGAGGGTAACACAGGGCAGTGTATTGGGCCCGCTGTTGTTTGTTTGTTTCATAAATGACATGCCTGACGTTGTACACTCCTCCATACAAATGTTTACCGATGACGCCAAGTTATTTCGGGAAATTAAGAACCAAGTAGACTGTGAAGAGCTGCAGAAGGACTTCTGTGGGCTCCAAGAATTGTGGAAGAAATGGCTGCTGAGATTCAATGTCACAAAGTGTAAGAGGATGCACCTGGGGCGTACCAACGGTAAGGAGGCGTATCATATGTCCCAACGGGATGAAGAAACTGCACTATTTGAGACTGAATGTGAGAAGGACCTAGGTGTGTATGCTGACAATGAGTTGAAGTTCTCGGGCCACTGCGAGAAGAAAGTAAATCAGGCAAATAAATTTTTGGGTCTTATAAGAAAGTCGTTCAGATATCTAGACGGTCCGTCCCTCGTAACGATCTTCAAGAGTGAAGTGCTTCCCCATCTGGAGTACTGTCACCCCGCCTGGTCCCCGAGATATGCGAGGGACTGTCAGTTGGTTGAAAATGTTCAAAGGAGGGCCACCAGACTGGTGCCTGCCCTTCGGCACCTCAGCTACCCTGAGAGATTGGACCTCCTGAACTTGCCTAGCTTATACTACAGACGGGCAAGGGGTGACCTAATAGAGGTGTATAAGCATCTCAAGGGGCACTACTTAGTCGAGTGTCCTTACTTGGAGCTGGCGGACGCTCGTCCCACAAGGGGTCACAGCTCAAGATTGAAGAAGCCGCAAGTCCAGAAAACTGTGAGGGCAAACTTTTTCGGAGTGAGAGTTGTGAAGTCTTAGAACAATCTACCAGAAAGTGTTGTGACGGCACCTAGTGTGAGCTCTTTCAAGACAAGACTTGACCAACACAGGAGCGGGTTCAGGTACATTCAGGAGCCGGTGCATGCCCAGTACTTGCTAATAGTGCATAACAGAGACGTGACCGATCGCCCAAGCGGCTAACGAGCCGATGTTTTGGTGAAGAGGATAAAAGTAAAAGAATATAAGGAGACCGTTACACATGAACAATGCTGTGGTTGACAAAGTTCAGAAGAAATCTCAGAAATTCAAAAGATGGGTCGAGACAAATGATGAGCAGGACAGGAGGATGCATGCCAGGTCCAGGAACCAAGCAAAGTCAGCGTGTAGAAGGGTTGAAAAATAGTTTTAGAGGCGGATTGCAAGCGAAGTCAAGTTAAAGCCAAAGGATTTCTTCCGTTACGTGAAGTTGAAATTAAAGACTGGGTGTATCAGATCTGAAACTTGAAGATGGTAGTTATGCAGACTCCTATCAGGACAAAGCGGAGGCGGTAAACAAATTCTGTTCCTCTGTGTTCACAAGAGAGGATTCAAACATTCTCCATGCGTCCCAGGAAAGACGGTTTGACACAGCACTTCCGCACATTATGTTCTCAGAAGTGAGTATTAGGAACCATTTGTCAAACTTATGGGCTCATAAGAGCCGGGACCCTGGCAGCATGTAACCCAGAGTACTAAGAGAGTTGTGCAACGAGCTTGCTGAGCCTCTTAAAATCCTGTTCTGGAGATGCATGGATGAGCAAAAGATCCCCAGCGACTGGAAAATGGCATATGTGAGTCCTATATTCAAACAGGGAGATAACGCCACTCCACAAATAATTTTAGGCCAACATAGTGTGAAAAGTACAAGAGGGCATTATAAGAGATACCATGATGGAACATCAACTATTAAACAACCTAGTAAAGGAATGCCAACACTGTTTTTTGCCGGGACGCTCCTGCTTGACACAATTACTAATGGTGCTGGATGTGCTGACCCAGATCCGGGAGAGTGGTGGCAATATCAACAACGTTCTAATCCCTCTAACTATCGCCCCATTTCCCAAACTTCACCCCTCTCTAAGATTTTTGAAACTATCTTAAACTCCCATTTTCTCCGTCACCTTGAACGCCTTTCTCTCTTGTCAGATCACCAGTATTGGTTTTCGCCAGGCGAGATCAACTGGTGATCTGCTCTCCTACTGTACCCATCTTGGGTCATCCTCTGTTAGGGGTTATGGGGAAACCTTTGTCGTGGCCCTCGACATCTCCAAAGCATTTGACAGGGTATGACACAAGTCTTTGCTTTCTAAAGGTTTCTCTCCTCCACTCTGTTCTCTCATTTCTAGCTTCCTTGAGAAACGATCCATTGCAGTTGTTGTCGAGAGATTGATCCCTCCTCTTTCTCTACCATTAGTGGTGTTCCACAGGGTTCTGTTCTTTCACCTACTCTCTTCCTTCTTTTTATCAGTGATTTACTTCACACTACAACCAATTCTGTCCATTATTACGCTAATGATTCTACTCACCACTCTTCTCATTTTTTCCTTCCCCCTAACTCTCATACTAGATCTGTTTCTAGAGCTGATATCGTTTCTTCTATCAATGCGTATCTGTGCAGCATCTCTGAATGGGGAGGTAGAAATTTGGTCAAATTCATTAGTAAGAAAACACAGTATTTACCTATTATCCTTTCAAAAATAGAAGATCTTCCACTAGTCACTTTTCAGGGCACAACCATTTTGCCAAATTTTAAAAGAGATATACTGGGCCTCACCATTTCCACTAATATGTCATGGAAGCCACACTTCTACAACATAGCTAAAGCTGCCTCCCGAAAGCTGGGAATGCTGTACAGATGCCGTAGCTACATCACTCTTGAGCAGTTGCTTCGGGTTTATAAATTCATTCGTAACTTGGAGTACTGCTTTCATATCTGGAGTGGTTCTTCTTCTGTCCAACTGTATAGGGTGGAATCAAATGCATTTCGTCTTATTAACTCTCATCCTTTAGTTAATAATCTCTCTTCCCTTTCTCTTCGCCGCAATGTTGCTTCTCACTCTCTCTCTTTTACAGGTACTTTAACGGGCAATGTTCGGTGGATTTGGCATTGTGTGTACCGCCGGCAATGCAGTAAGCTCGTAACACTCGTCTTGCCCGCAGTGCCCACCATTTCTGTGTGGATGTCGGCGACAGCCAAGCTGTAGAATGCTTTGCCTTCTTCTGTATTTCCATCACAAAAAAACCTGGTTTACCGCCATCTTAGTGGTAAAGAATAACACGCAGTATTCTTTTTCTCTAATTTCTACTCCCCCCCCCCCAAAAAAATAAATAAAAGAGCCCATAAAAACTATTGAACAGTCAACAATGACAAAAATAGGTTTACGACTCACCTCTCTGGATCTTTCAGAAATCGGAAGAAAGGCAAGTTTCTGTTCTTTTTAGTATTGTTGGAGCAATTAATATCTGCACAGTAACTGTATCCCATTGTAGATAATAAAATAATGTGCACAAGACAATAAAAAACATGAATTCACATAAATGTGCATCTCCCTCCATTTACTCTTTGCCTGCAACCTATCCGCCGCTTGATAATACTGAAACCTGTGTGTTCTCTAGCAGATACAGTGAAGATGGTGCGCGTGGTGGTGGTAGGTGGGGGGGTCAACGGTGTTGGCAGCGCCCTGGCCATTCTTCACCGTCTACCAGAGTGTGACCTCACCATTATCACCCAGGACCTGACCCCTAACACAACAGGTCAACACAATCCTTCAGAATTGATTTTGTGGTCATTAGGTCACCTCACAGTAGTCTCCCATTTTAGGATTGAATTTTATGTTAACTTAGAATTTAACCTGACTACAGGTTTTTAGGTCACAAGTCAGCTTAGAGGTCAGTTTTAACCTTCGATACTAAATTTAGGGTCACTCAGAGGTAAAAAATGTGTTCACTATTTGAACTGAACTTACCAGCTACTGATTGGGATGAATAATGTGTCAATACTGTGGCATTAAAGGATCACAGTGCCAGCTTAGTTTCTTTCTGTTAGTTTAGTGCCATCATAGTGTTAACTTTTCGCCACTTTGGCAGCTAAATATCATCATACAATAGTGTCAGCTTAGTAAAACATAGTGTCTGCTTAGTGCCAGCTTAGTATAACATAGTGTCTGCTTAGTGCCATCTTAGTATAACATAATGTCTGCTTAGTGCAAGCTTAGTATAACATAGTGTCTGCTTAGTGGGCGATCGGTCACGTCTCTGTTACGCACTATTGGCAAGTACTGGGCATGCACCAGCTCCTGAATGTACCTAAACCCGCTCCAGTGTTGGTTAAGTCTTGTCTTGAAAGAGCTCACACTCGGTGCCGTCACAACACTTTCTGGTAGATTGTTCCAAGAGTTTACAACCCTCACTCCGAAAAAGTTTGCCCTCACAGTTTTCTGGACTTGCGGCTTCTTCAATCTTGAGCTGTGACCCCTTGTGGTTAGTGTACATGACATTCAAGCTAGAATTTGTTCTCGGTAACGTCTCTGCTCTTAGTAGTAACCCCCACCCCCTCATTCTCAGAAGCTGCAGCATTTGCTAAGTACACTGTATTTTGCAAGGTGTGGTTTGAAATGGCATTGTTTACAAGGCGCTCGCCTACTCCCGTCTGATAAGCAGAGTTGGTGCCACCTCCTGGGTTGGGGGTAGAGTGGGTGGAGGGTGCGCTGCTGTCCCCTGGCCCCGTATCGGCACACTTGCTTCCACTACCCTCTCCCTGAATTTAACCCATGCACACTCGTCCCCGTTCCTCCCCGACTCTTCCTTTCTCTGCTTCAAGCCCTGCAGGAGCTTCTTGTGCTGTTCCCTCTACATTACCGTGCGATCTGGGTGAATGAATACACTCCGAAATGTCTCCTCCTTGCTAAGTTTTTTGCCTGCCGAATAACCTCCCATTTCTCCTCCTCATTCACTAGTGTGATCCTGAGGGGGAGAGGCTTGTCCCCCCTGCTTTTGTCCCAGCCTCCTCACATCCTGAGGGGTTGATGGCATCTTCAGAACCTCTGTACAAATATTCTTAAACTGCATCTTATCGTGTGTTATCTTGTAGTGGATTCCTCCCCTACAAACGCCGTTTGTCGCTGAGTAGCCGACCCTCTTCGAATTCCCTAGTGTATGCCTCGTGGTCAAGGTCGGCAACCAGCGCCGCCTAACAAGGCTGAGGTCAACTATTAAGCCACGCCTACCTCCGCTATATAAGACCTCACCTCGTGGTGACCTGTCCCTTTCTATCCATAGCTACCAGCAAGCAACACCTCCTCCTCCGCTCCTGCCTGGCGGCCCTCGCTCCCGCCGGCGACCATGGCGACCCACAAGCTGGTCCTCCTCTGAGCACCATCACCAACCAGCTCTCTCTACTCAACGCTTGTAACCATGCTGCCTTCCCAGCACCAAGCTGCATTGTACATCCAATACAATATGTATACAGAGAGCACATTGTGAGTTTCCTTTCTCCACCCCATCCTGAGTGTGAACCAAAATCCCGTACCCCACAAATGGTGACCCCCGGAGATTCGCACACACGCACACAGGATGGAGGAGAAATTGATCACTCTCCCAGTCTTCAATCAACATGGAAGACTGGCTTATCCACACGGAGGCAGCTCTCATCAGCTCTACAGCTACTGTCTCTACACCGCAGGTTAAACACCCTAGAGCAGCTTTGCTACTCTAAGCAGACAGCCGCTCCTCTTCCTGCCCCAAGCACCATGTCCTACCGACCCCAACACACCCGTCCTGCCTCAGACGCCGCCCCCGGCCCAGCAGTACCCCCTGCTACTGTCCTGGACCCTCCTCCTGACGCGGCCCCTGCTCCTGACGCGGACCCACACACCCCTCTTTTCTCCCTCAGGTACTCCCTGCCACTGTCCTGCACCCTGCTGCTGTCGTGGACCCTGGTGCTGTCTTGCACCCTGCTGCTGTCATGCACCCTGCTGCTGTCATGGACCCTCTTCCTGACGCAGCCCCTGCTCCTGACGCGGACCCACACACCCCAGCAGGCGCTACTGAGGACTCTGTATTTGCCGGGAGAGAAGCACCACATTCCTTGCCTCCACAACCCTCCCTCTCCCTCTCTTCTCCCACAGATCTCGTGTATGTAGACAAAGTGTCTCCCATAGCGGCCGGCTCATCCACGCCCTCGCCGTTATGTCTTACATGTGGCATACAACCCTGCCGACAACAAGTCTCCTGCACCGCCCGTTATGCCTCACATGTGGGATGCAACCCTGCAGACAACAAGTCTCCTACACCGCCTGGAGGGAAGGGGGAGTATTGTAGTGGATTCCTCCCCTACAAACGCCGTTTGTCGCTGAGTAGCCGACCCTCTTCGAATTCCCCAGTGTATGCCTCGTGGTCAAGGTCGGCAACCAGCGCCGCCTAACAAGGCTGAGGTCAACTAAAGACTTCGTATCGTATCGACCTGTCCCTTTCTATCCATAGCTACCAGCAAGCAACACCTCCTCCTCCGCTCCTGCCTGGCGGCCCTCGCTCCCGCCGGCGACCATGGCGACCCACAAGCTGGTCCTCCTCTGAGCACCATTACCAACCAGCTCTCTCTACTCAACGCTTGTAACCATGCTGCCTTCCCAGCACCAAGCTGCATTGTACATCCAATACAATATGTATACAGAGAGCACATTGTGAGTTTCCTTTCTCCATCCCATCCTGAGTGTGAACCAATATCCCGTACCCCACAAATGGTAACCCCCGGAGATTCGCACTCACACAGGATGGAGGAAAAATATCCCGTACCCCACAATCTTACTCTCAGTTCCCTCCGCCTGGCTCTCGGGGACTCCAAAAACTACAACATTGTTCCTGCTCTGGAAAAGTTCCCATTGTTCCTTCTCTCCCCTAACAGTTAATTTTCATTTCTTTGACACACTTCTTCAGAGTCCCTAGCTGCTGTAGAACCCGTTCTGATCCTGCATTACTCTCCGCCACCTCCCGTGGCCCTGCTAATTCCTCAGCATAACTCCAGCCAGTGTTTGCTTGATAAGCTTGACGTGACCTTAGTTTGACTAAAGTGTCAGCCTAGTGATGGCAGCTTGATATCAGTGCAGTGACAATTTAGTGTCAATTTTGGGACAGCTCAATATCAGCTTCATATTAGCATACAATATTGTCAGCGTTAAGTCAGGCAGATGTCAGCCCAGTGTCAACTAATTGTGATATTTTACAGGTGATGGAGCTGCGGGGTTTTGGGGACCCTACTTAAGTTTCGGCACACCACCCGCCAAGATAATGTGAGTTACGACCATCTGCTTCCGTGTGTTCACGTCTGTTTGTCTTCACGTGTTAGTACTTAGGTATCTTCGTGTGTGTGTGTGTGTTAGAAACTTTTAATCAACAGTTTATTGATGTTTATTAAAACTTCCAAGGAACATTTAGCGAAATATGCAAGTAAGAAGTTAACTAGAAATTTCTCTCGTGAACAAAGTAGATGACTTTCCAGTGAAATTAAGTATCAGTGAGATAAAAGTCGGTAATACTTCAGATTCCAGGTATGGGGAGAGTAGTTAAACATGCAGCAACAGTTTTCTTATAATTACACTTAAACGCTAATATATAAAACGAAACAAGACGCTACTCCTACGCCAGATACAGTTAAATGCACAAGAATTTTGCAAGATTTAATATGGTGACAAATTAATAGACACACAATAAGAGCACTGAGGTGGGTCTCTCTAATTGGCGCTCATTTGGTACGCAATTTAAGAGTTATCGAGAAAATTAATGCAATATACGTAAATATAAATGTCAATAGAATTAAGTAAAATAGAGGAATAAATTATTAGGCTGATTAAATGGTTACGCACCTAGTAATTCGGACAAATTAGTTGGGTTATTGTTTTGGCCATAACATTTAAGGTGGTATAAAAGCATCCTTGAGTTGTAGCATATAGTATTTGGGCTACATTCAACACCATCTGTCGTCCAGTAACGGTTAATAGCACGGTTAAATTTGATTATAAACCTTTTGTTATTTGCTTTTACCAGAGCTATTCCATTAAGTCAGTGTATAATCTACTCTCTTTAATAATTATATAGAAAGATGAACAGAAGGTCTCCAGTGATTGGAAAATGGCTTACGTGAGTCCTATCTTCAAGAAGGGCGGTCGTCACTCCACGAACAACTATAGACTGGTGAGCCTGACCAGCATAGTATGTAAAGTACTTGAGAGCATTATAAGAGATGCCATGATGGAACATCTACTACGAAACAATCTTGTGAAGGATTGCCAACACGGGTTTATGCTGGGACGCTCCTGCTTAACACAATTACTCAAAGTTTAGGATGCTTAGACTCAAATTCTGGAACAAATGGTAATATCGACAATTATAACTAAATTTTGCCAAGGCTTTCGACAGTGCACCCTATTAAAGGCTGAGAATTAAACTGGAAGGGTTCGGGATTCGGGAAAATGTCCTAGTGTGGATCGGAGAATTTGTTCACGATCGCAAGCAGTCTGTAGTGATTAATGGCACGAAATCGTACCTGTGACAAGTGGGTTACCACAGGGCAGTGTATTGGGCCCGTTGTTGTTTGTCTGTTTCATAAATTACATGACAGAAGTTATACTGTACACTCTTCCACACAAATGTTTGCGGACGATGCCAAGATATTCAGAGAAATTAAGAACCAAGCAGACTGTGAAGAGCTACAGAAGGATCACTGTGAGCTTCAAGAATGGTCGAGGAAATGGCTGCTGAGATTCAATGTCATGAAGTGTAGGGGGATGCACTTGAGTCGCACCAACAATGAGGAGGCGTATCATATGTCCCAACAGGACGAAGAAACTGCATTAATAGAGACCGAATGTGAAAAGGACCTGGGTGTATATTATGACAATGAACTTTAGTTTTCTGGCAATTCTGAGAAGAAGGTGAATCAAGCAACGAAACTAGTAGGTCAAGAGTACTGTCACCCAGTCTAGTCCCCGAGATATGCTAGAGACTGTCAGTTGATTGAAAATGTTCAAAGGAGGGCCACCAGACTGGTGCTTGCTCTACGGCACCTCAAGTATACCCAGAGAGATTAGAACGCCTGCAACTGCCTATCTTATTCTCCAGACGGGCAATGGGGGGCCCAGTTAAAGTGTATAAACATCTCAGAGGGCACTACTCAGTCGTGTCCATACCTGGAGTTGGCGGACGCCCACCCCACAAGGGGTCACAGTTCAATGTTGAAGAAGCCACAAGTCCAGTAAACAGTGAGGGCAAACTTTTTCGGAGTGAGAATTGTGAACTCTTGGAACAATCTGCCAGAGAGTGTTGTGACGGCACCAAGTGTGAACTCTTTCAAGGCTAGACTTGACCAACTCTGGAGCAGGTTCAGATACATTCAGGGGCCAGTTCATGCCCAGTACTTGCTAACACTGCGTAACAGAGACGTGACCGACCGCCCAAGCGGTGGCGAAGAGGATAAAGGTAAAAAGTAAAAGTATCATAATTCATTTTCAGAGAATTTGATAGTGTGAGATTAGTGAAATTATTTAACTGCGGTAGAGTAGGACCTCGTCTTTTTACCTGGTGTATTTGTATGGGGTCGTAGTCGTTACACTAATAATATATTAAGGCTTAAATTTCTGTTCCAATTCCTTTTTTCTAACAAGAGTCTCGGACCTGTTATCATTAATAAGAGAGGAGTAATGATCACGGCTCACTAGTAAGACCACGGAAGTCACTAAGGCTGAAAGGGTCACTTTGACGAGAGAAAATAAAAAAAATTAACTTAGTCATACGTAGAAGATATGAGGTAAAGACGACGCACTGGAGAAGTCAAGAGAAGGGGCCACGCAGGCTGTTGAGAGCAGAGTCGTTCTGTGAGGGTGTTGTAGAGTGAAGTGAAGTGCGTGGTACCACAGAGGAGTGTATTTGGCCCGTTGTTGTTTGTCTGTTTCTGTAATGACATGCCAGAAGCTATACACTCCTCCATACAAATGTTTGCGGACGATGCCAAGTTATTTGGGGACATTAAGAACCAAACAGACTGTGAAGAGCTGCAGAAAGATCTCTATGAGCTAAGATTCAATGTCACAAGTGCAAAAGGATGCACCTGGGTGGCACCAATAGTAAGGAGACGTATCACATGTCCCAACAGGACGAAGAGACTGCATTAATTGAGACCGAATGTGAAAAGGACCTGGGTGCGTATGTTGACAATGAACTTAAGTTCTCGGGCCATTGTGAGAAGAAAGTGAATTAGGCAACAAAACTAGTAGGTCTTATTCGAAGGTCGTTTAGATATTTAGATGGTCCATCACTCGTCACGATCTTCAAGGGTGAGGTGTTTCCCCGTCTGGAGTATTGTCTGGTCCCCGAGGTATGCTAGAGATTATTATTTGATTTAAAATATCCTAAGGAGGGCCACCAGACTGGTGCCTGCTCTACGGAACCTCAGTTACTCAGAGAGACTGGAGCTTCTGCAACTATCTAGCTTATACTACAGGCTGGCGAGGGGCGACCTAATCGGTCGAATGTACGTACAGGTAGGCCTACATACCTGTAGCTGGTGAACGTTCTGCCCCACAAGTGGTTACAGCTCAAGGTTGAAGGAGTCACGTCCAGAAAACTGTGAGGGCAAACTTTTTCAGAGTGAGAGTTGTGAACTCTTGGAACAATCTGCCGGAGAGCTTTGTGACGGCACCGAATGTAAGCTCATTCAAGGCCAGACTTGACCAACCCTGGAGCAGGTTCCGATATATTCAGGAGCCAATGCATACCCAGAATCTGCCAACAGTGCGTATCAGAGACGTGACCGACAGCCCAAGCGGCTAACGAGTCGATCAGTGGCGAAGAGGATAAAAGCGTGGCTGTTGGCTTTCCGCGCTTGTGAAGTCACGCTTTTTTATGCGGTGGTGATTGGTCGATTAATATATCAGTGAAAAAGTAAAAAAATATGGCTTAAGAGTTAATGTTGTAAAAACGAGAGTAATGGTGTTACCAAATTGGAAATAAACCCTAAAATGAAAATTATCGAAGGCAACAGGGAACTTAAATAAGTGGAAAATTTTGTGTATTTGGGAAGTAAAATTAACTGTGACGTTAAATGTGCTGAAGAAATAAAAACAAGAATAGTGCGTGCAAAAACATTTAATTATCTAAAAGACCGAATGAAAAGGGACATTCACCTTAATTTGAGAAAAAGCAGCTGAAAGGCTTTATATGGTAAGGACAAATTGGTGAGAAGCGTGGACACTTTCAGCAGACACCAGAAAGAGGTTGGAGGCCTTTGAAATGTAGCATTATAGGCGAATGCTAAGAATAAGTTACACCGACAGGAAAACAAATGAAGATATACTAAGATTAGCAAAAACTAAAAGACAAATACTTGAAATGTACAGGAAAAGAAAAAAAATAGATACTTTGGACATATAATTAAGGATGAGTCGATAATAACAAAATATTAGTGTGTAAAGTTGAGGATAAGGGGGCCAGGGGAAGGCAGAGACTGGGATGGATGAATGAAACACCGAGTGTGAGCGCTTTCAAGACCAGACTTGACAAGCACTGGAGCAGGTTCAGATACATTCAGTAGCTAGTGCATGCCCAGTACTTGCCAACAGTGCTTAATAGAGACGTGACCGATCGCCCAAGCGGCTAACGAGTCGATCAGTGGTGAAGAGGATAAAGGTAAAAAGTAAAAATAGTATTGTGTATATTTCTGTTTGGCTTCCTCCAGCCAGTGGTCGCAAGAGACTTGGAAGTTGTTCAGCAAGTGGTACAAGAGCGATCAGCCGATGGGTGTCTCGCTTGTGTACGGGGAAAGCATCTGCCGCGACCCTCTACCGCTGGAACCCTGGCGACACCTTCCCTTAGCCTACCGTCAGCTGAATTACCATGAGTATACCAAACATGGCCCAGAGTACCGGTAAGTAGCCTACCAGTGTACTGCGCACATCATTGTCATTCCTAAAAACCCCATTTAATTCATATTACGCTATATAACATTCAAATCCACCGCGCTTGTAGAATCTCAGAAAACGGGAAACATTGATAAAGGATAACTCACCTACTCAATGTTACTAGACCATGTGTTGTATTGTATCCAGGTACAGTTATAAAATATTAATTGTATGTGTTCATAGCATTAAGGAGAACTCAGGGTATCCATAAGATGAATGTTAAAGTCCAATTGAGCCGGACTAGTGTACTGTAGGACTAAGTGTGGATCATGGTTTGAAGGTCATACTATTTACGTCTGTGAACGTGTAGCGAACATAACTTCCATAGATATCATATGAAAATACATGAGTACAATGATCTGGAAAAAGAATAAATGTATCAGAACTATGTGAGGTGTTGGAAGTGACCCAGAAACTATACTTGAAAGGAAATATCTTGTATGCGTCGGTATGAACGTAATACACCTCGTATCCTCACGTGGCATATACCCACGACAGGTACAGTGATCAGAGAATCTTATGTCTGTGTTCAAATAGTGCAATGTGTGAGAGGAGGATCCCTAATTACAGTTTTAAGTGAAGTGGATACACCCCCGCCATGAACATTCGGCCTTCGTTTTAAGGCGCGTCCTGTACCCGCCTTGAGTGTGCCTGTTGAAATTACAACCCAATGAATTTACCCACGAATTAGCAAACCAGAACCTTACCTTAGTTTGTACTTTAGGGTTAAAATGTGTTTATAAGGCATGAGTGACAATATGCCGAAAGAAATAAAAGTAAAAATTGAAGATTGGAAACTGTAGGCCTACGCTGTGACGAGCGGCGGGGCGCTGCACTCAGTACCCTCCGCTCTACCGTCACCTCAGGTCAGTGTCCTATCGGGCTATATCCCGCCCTATAATTAAGGCTTATATAGAAGTTATTACAGTTTAAAGCTTTGCCTGATGTATAAGTGTAATAGTAATGTGTTAGGGGGTGTGATAACCGCCCGTCAGGCACTATTTCACAGTGTCCTCCGTTCTACCTTCACATCAGGTCACTGTCCTCTATCGGGCTACATCCCGCCCTGTAAAAAAGGCTTATATAGCAGTTATTACAGTTTAAAGCTTTGCCTGATGTATAAGTGAAATAGTAATGTGTTAGGGTGTGTGATAACCGCCTATCAGGCATTATTTCCGAGTGTTCTCCGTTCTACTGTCACATCAGGTCACATGCGATCGGAGCACCTTGCTGGGCGTCGGCCATTCTCCCTGTGAGCGTTCCACCATGTGAGGTGACTACCAGCTATACTATTCCACTGTGAACGTGTGGATCCCCAGCAGACCACCCCAAATGAGTAGGAATAAATAAGGAAATGCTTGAGAAACTCCGTGGTCGTCACTTGGAGCGACCTAAAATGCCAGGCGCAGAAACAGTACTGGTATGTCTTTGGGTGTAGCCCTCGTCTCTACCCACCGAGGATGGTGTGCGAACGAGGTGCCCGATGTGTGCACCTATAAATCACAAGGAGTCCCATACTTGCAGGTGTGGAGTATAACAGGTGTGGTGAGCTGGTGCTACAGGGAGGTGAGATGGTGTTACTATGTATGATGACCTAAGGTGCTATATTCCATACAGGTGGAGCAGTCCGAAGTGTTAAATGATATTGTAAGCAGGGTAACCAAACTCATCGTTGTTCTTCTGAGGAAGGCCAGCTCAATTGTATTTTTTTGTTACCATATAGTTTATAAAGAATAAATTAGTTAAGACATGTTATGGTTTCACCCTTCTTTCCCCTTATCGATCTGGTCAATGAAAAACCTAACCCAATGCCTAATCCACTCTGTACGCTACCTAACGAGCTACATACTGCCCAGAGGGGGTCTGGTGGCAGCGACCCTTAGAAATTAAGATTAGAGTTAAGTATTTCCCCTTAGAATTAGTGACCCCAGTCTGGCAGTATACTCCCAACACGACAACACTGATGCAGCCTATGGACCAAGGTGTCATCGCTGCATTCAAAGTGTATTATTTACGGCGTACCGTGGACCAACTGCTAACGGCTACTGATGGGGAAAATAAACCAACGATCCGAGAATATTGGTTGGTCTACAGCATTCTTCATGCAATCGACAACATTGGCAAGGCATGGGAAGAAGTTTCAGAAAGTTGCCTGAATGGTGTGTGGCGTAAATTTTGGCCCAAGTGCGTCAACAGTTTTACAGGATTCATGGACTTAGTCCCAGCAGTGAATAGGGATATCCTTAGCCTGGGTAGACAGACAGGCTTTCATTAGCTGGAATCAGAGGATATTGAGCAAGTCCTGGCATCCCATACAGAAGAGATCACCAATGAAGATTTTTAACAACTAACAGAACGCAGTCCCATTGAAGACAACGATGACGAAGAAATAACACAACGAGCACAAATCTTCAATGATGACGAGCCAAACTGAGAACATTGCTCAAAGATTCAACGCAATATTGATGACAGTCTTGCTTGTTATAATGAGATCTACAAGAAGAAGAAGAGGAGCACTAAGCAGTCAACGCTGGATTCTTTTTTTCGTCGCCTGAAGGAAGAAGCAGCATCTTCACAACAACCAGCAAACAGCAGCCGAGGAGGAGCAGATAGCAGCTGAGGAACCCCAGTCAGAACAGGAGGAGGAGGCACCCGCTGAGTCTCAGTGACTCACCATCCTCCTCAGCTCCCACCCTCCTAGTCCTCCGCTGCCGCCATCCTCCTCCTCCGCTCTAGCCATCTTCCTCCGCTCCAGCCATCCTCCTCCGCTCCACTACCCACCACACACTCCCTGTTCCACCACCACCGCCCATCAGTGAATACAATACAAAATGATTTAGTTATATATATATATATATATATATATATATATATATATATATATATATATATATATATATATATATATATATATATATATATATATATATATATATATATATATACATTCAAGGGTGAGTACAAGACACTGAAAGGTATCAGCATACCTAGATCACGCACCTACAGTGATTTACTTGCATATATATATATATATATATATATATATATATATATATATATATATATATATATATATATATATATATATATATATATAGATAGATACTATTTTCTATAAAAATGCCATTGAATTGCCGAATATGTGAATTATTTCATGGGGCAAAGGGAGGCTCACGAACGTAACTCCTGTAATTTATCTATTTCTTATGGGGAAAATTGATTCCGTTAACTTTGTTTCCCTTAACGTCGTGGTTTCCAGGAAAGGAGCAACCACGACGCTAAGTGAGACTATACAGGTATTTGTAGTGACCTCCCGGTGAGGGAGGAGGAGGGTGCAGTCGATATCTCCTACAATATCACATGCACAGAACTCATACCCATCAGCTTGCAGTTGCCATTTAGGAATTTTTCATAGCCATTATCCAATGCTTGGGATGAAATGAGTGGGAATTAGAGCATATTGTGCTGATTTTTGTTGTGAGGGCGCGTGTTCCCACAGTATCTACACCACCCTCATACTTCCTTACTTCTCTTAGTTCCTACTCTTACTCAGTTCTGTCACCTATTCTTTTGGTAGCATGGACATTCTTTTGGTAGCATGGTCGAGGGTCTAGGCACATGGGTATGGTAATTCTGGTATCAAGTCACTTGCCGGAAATAAAGGTAAAATACTGTGGGAGAAATGAATACACCTAAAGTACTCTAAAAACAAATTTATTAATAGGAAATCAAAGGGGAAAAGATATATTATTAATCATATAACTGCCAGGCTCAACTCCCTGGCTTAGTGCAGACTCAGTACTTTCTTCTTTACTTATTTTCTCATTTACTTTTTTTCTTATTTCTTTACTCAACAGTAATTACTCAAATCTTACATTCTTACTGCACACAACATTACTGGTGTTACATTACATGGCATAGTAGGACCAGTTCCTTGGCCCTACTCACAATACATAGTACATGGCACTCATTGTAGATTACTTTATTCAACATACTCGTTAATAATTAAATCAGCAGATACCTGGGGTCCACTACCCAACATGGGATAATTATTTCCAACTAATTATCCCTAACATACATCTTACAACACTCTCTGTTGACATATACTTCCAAGGAGTAACCCAGGGTAGAGCACCGGGGCTCACGACCGTTGTTATTGTGTGGTAGCCATACACATGGCGAGTCTGGGGTCTAGCCCAACGAAGCAGTGAAGCACATTAATCAGGCCGCATCGGTGCCATCGTTTCGTATATGATCCCTGCTGGGTATCTACTACATCCAGGGCCGTTGTTGAACGATGCAAGAATCACAATGGGATCTGGAGAAACATTGGAGCAGCATCAGGGAGCGTACTGGGAAGCATGACAACACAAACAACTCTCTTGTCTAGACGACAGACGTATTTACGTTATATTACTTCTTACACTGGGTGAATGACAATTCAACTGTTAAATCATGAACACTGGTGAACACTGATATTCACTACAATTGATTGAATTAACTGAATGGCTAAACATAAACATACATGGAGAAACATTGGAGCAGCGTCAGGGAACGCTCTCCCTGGGGATGCACTGGTATAAATACCCCCGAGTTGCCAGTGATCGCTACTCACACAATGACAATAATTACAAACAAACTAACTGTTACTCATTAAAAGATGACCCTCAGTTGACAAAGGTCTGGCGAATTACTTGAGTTGATATACACAGACTAATTCAAGATTGAGCTTCCCAGGAGAAAGTGGAATAACAACGCATTGATAACTGTCTTCACAAAGGCGGGACTCTGGGAGGGAACACAAGTGTAGCGTCTATGGGGAAAAAACACGTCTTCTCAGGGGTCGCTAACTCATTCATGTTTTGTTGTCGTGGAGTTTAATAAGAATCATTAGTTAAATGGAGCAGCAGTCAACGTGACCATGACATTGTGTACAAACAAACACCATCACAAGAAGATTTAATTTTTATTACCCCATCACAACCGTGTCGTGCA